AGGGAAAGAAAAAACCAGCATGTAGGTGGCTACTATTTGTGAAGAGTAGAGCTGCTCAGCATTCGTGCATCAGGCCCTAATCACTGCTGAGGCTCCAGCACCCCATGCCCAGGATTAGCCCCACAGCTGCCTTTATTTGGAGTTTTTTTTGGCTTGATCGGTTATTTTGCTGGGTGAGACCTGAGGACTTCGGCAGGGATTTCTCCTCCCATCGGCAAAGCCTGCTATGCCTGGGTTGAGCAGCTTAATACCAGCAGACAACAACTGCAACATGTCTCAGACTAAAATAAAATAAATAAACAAATAATTTTAAAAGCCACTAAGTGCCATGAACTGCTGCCAAAGGGCTTCATGTACCTGCCATGGGCAGCTGTCACCTGCCCATGGCTGCGGCCTGCTCCCTCAGCCAAGGTCCACGGGACGCAAGGTGACATTAGTGGGAGGATACACTGCCCGCCGAGGCGACCGGCAGCGCATACCAGGGGAGCAGCACCATGCTAACCTTTTACCTGGTGTACGCACCGAAACCCCACCGGTCACGTTGCACAGGCTCCCATTAAACATGCCATCGCCTCAGAGCCTCGGTTGGCTCCGCACAGCTTTGGCAAGTCCCCGGTGCCAAACGTGTGAAGGGCCTTGTTCTGAAGTCTGCACCCCAGGAGGGCGGCCAGAGATGGCAGATAAGGCTTGTTTACGTGGCAATGATTCCCCAGGTCTAACCAGGAGCATTTCCATACCATGCTCAGCCTCCGAAAATTCCTGCATTACCCACTTGGCCATGAAGGGTTGCAAAACCCAGCTCACCCTTTCCTTGCCGGTGAGCAGAGATTCCCTGTGGCCTTATCCAGGGAGCATCCCAGCCTGCGCTGCCCATGCTGGGAGCGCAGAGGTGCCCCAAACCCCTTTGTAAGAGCAAAGGGAAGAAATCCTCAACATAGGGAAACAAGGAACTACGCTCTGGGTTCATGGCAGTCGTCTCTTTGGATGTCTGGTTTTGGAGCTAGGATGACTTGGCTACAGCAGTGTGGCTCCCCAAGGCACCCCACTACAGCTGCAGGGTGCTGAGCACCGGACAGACCACCTCCTGCCAGCACATCGTCCTCCAGCGGTTTTCCTAACCCATCCCCAGGGATTAACTGTAGCATTGCAAACAGCCACCATGGCTGCGTCAGTGTTTTGTCATGAAGTAGCCAAGGTTTAACCCAACGAGATTTCCAGTGTGGCCGAGGGAAGCCGCAAGCGATGCTGTAACCACGTGCAGAGTCATCTCCAGCTCTTATGGCTAAGAGCTACAGCAAAAGTGCCCTCACATCCACAGGGAGGGAAGCAACTGGC